AATTAAGACGAAATGTGTTGAACTTAAAATAATAAGTATTTTGGAAAACTTTGACTGGAATGTTTTGGCTGAATTTGAACCGGTAGTGGCTAAAAACTTTCTACAGACTCTGTTGTTTTACTTCCTCCAACTTTATTTTTATGTAAACTAAGATTTTCATTTAGGACGTCTTCCTCCTGACCTGTATTTGATTCTGAGTAGATAATTTTGGAGTGGAGGAGTAGGAAACCTTTCATCTTCATACGTTTTCCAAGATCCTCAGGAAGTAGTCTGGCATGTCGTCATTGTAATACGTTGATTAACTTTGTTAGACCTTTTCATGATTCTACTTGAAATCCATGAGACATGAAAACATTCAATACCTGCCATAACGACATCAGGAATGTGAACTGGATGTGACTCATTTAAGTTATAATTCTCACATTGATTAGAAAATTCACTGAAAAATGAGTTGCGAAGACAAGCAAGTAATATGACACCAAAAGCTTAGAATTTGATTTATTTGAAACATTCTTCTCAATTATTTTGAATTTCACTCGACATGATCGGGTCATTAGAATGAATGGAATCTGATGAAGAACGTTTGAACATGGCCCAGAGTTTACCTAATCAGGGACTTTGTTGACCTTCCCCTACCATAGATTTGTTCTTTACTTCAATGAGAAATATATTAATTACACCATTAAATATATCTGAATTTTGAGCGTGGTTTCGGATTTGATTGTTGGAGCACATATTCTTTCAATGTGCCGATGAGCAGTAACATATCTACTAAACACACCTTCATTATGTTGGAGGATCGATTTTGTTTGTGCGACTGAAATCAACGTTGTAAGACTTGTCTGCGTCGTCTATTACAGTAGCGGCTTCAAAAACGACTGGCGTTCATATCTTTGTCGAGGGTAAAATATAGTCGATACATCCTCAACCAAGACAAAAGCCAGCCCGTTTTTTGCGATTCCGTCTTTTCCGTGTTTTGAAAAACCTGCGACGTTTGATGGAAGCCCGTACCTTGGATGCAGGCGAAAGCAAGCCTATCCATTAGTAGTTGTTGTTGCTTAGGCGAAATAAATAATTCCTAAAGACAGAGAATCTATTGCATGATTCCAGGATGTTGGAACTGTCTTCGATTTTCGAACTTTCGAAACAGTTTGCAATCAGTTTGAAATAAAGCTCGGTTTTCTCGCTTACAACATTGAAGCACTCATTTGTTTTAACCAACTACATGTAGTCGATGCTGTTCAAATGTCTATTTTACAGGACTTCAGCACTACTCGGATCACGAACACGTGATTGGCCTGAATAGAGCATGAGTGTATGTTCATATCAACAAGTGACAACTGTTAAAATATTAATAAGGTTTGGGAATTATATTAGATTATCCACTAGTCTGATTTGGTAAACAATTGATCATTATTTACCTCATCCACATTTCGCAGTTCTGTAAACAGTAGTTCATCAACATCCTGAAAAATGATCGGTGATAAGTCGCCGAGGCCTAAAATCCGTTGTGCTTCTGGAGCTGGAGTTCCCTGCAAACTTGCGACTCTTTAGACTAACCAACCATCATCATCCATGGATGGCGGAACATTCGGATCGATGTTGCTTGGATAGTGGATCAGATTAACAGATCCCTGAAGAACTCTCTTTTAATATTCAGGACGCCAGTATTTTTTACTGATTAGCGTTCTATCACTACAGATTGTTTCACTAATATTGGACTGCTAGCTACCATTGACTCGGATTAGTCGAAAGAGCTCCCGGCAGTTATGAAATTCACCTGCTACTTCCAGTATATTAGCGTGGTTTTACCACGAAGCTTCTCAGTCCGTACACATACCTTGCCTAATTTTATTACCTAGGTATCTACGTCTATCATCAAACTCACTGTCAACCGTAATGGACCGATGTGCCTTACGAAGTTGTAAGGAGCTTGTAAAAACACAGTGCATATAGGCGGAATGTTTCGCGAAGCTATGGTCGACTTTGCCCGCTATATCTATAACGTCGTGTAAGTGCGGCCAGTGCTCATTCATGATTTTAGTGGGTTTATAGCCAGCGTTAAATCCATCTTGGTTTTGCTACTTCGTTACATCAAAAGCTGCAGCCGACTTGCTTACATCGATCCGCCTAAAAAGAGATGAATCTGTTGGGGACTGGAAGGTAAGATGAGATTAGCTCAAACATTTGCGTGGTCAGAGTCCAGATAACCACTTCAAAAGAAGCAGGAGTCTTGTGCAAAAATATTCCAGCTGTAGCGGATCGCTATTTGGTCAATATGAATCCAGACTTGAGTTTTTTAGAGGGAGACCTCTAGGTAACCTATCGGAGATGACTGTGTTGAAAGTTGGTGTTGGACAGAAACAGGTTGTGATCTGTGCGAAGCTGGAGGAGATGGTCACTGATTTCTGATTTGTAATCAATGATTCCTTTTCGGCTATGCAAATGACTCATATGTGCATAGACGCCTTAATAACGCAGGCGATTTTCTAGATGAAACTAAAATGCTTGTCGAACAAAAAGGTATCGTTTCTCCCCTCGATTTATCACTTTGATGAGGCTATCTAATCTAACAGCATATAATCGAATGTTAATATAGGTGCAGTCCATTAGTTCTGCCTCAGCTTTTGCGTTTAATGCGACATTAACTCCAGCAAAGCAAGACCAAGGTGCTAAAGAGTTCACGGATTAGTGCATATGAGATAATCTGTGCAGATTGAAAAATGCAGAGCGAATATGTTATACTTTACTAAGTCTTGAGAATGGGTCTAGGACAGGCAACAGACATCGGTGTTCAGATTTTATAAAGACTCAACCAACCGTATCTGTTATTCAATTTGCATTAGTATGCGAACGTTGCAGGAATTCAGTTTGAATGGTGTGTGTGGTTTCAGAAAGACTGTTTTAGTATTCGTAGTCGGTGGTAGCATTCAACGTTTGACCAATTACTAACTTCGTACCGTTTAGAAAGACAGAACTTCCACCACTGGCGGGTTTCTGTATGAAATGGGGAACAAAATACAGAAAATGAGGATAAAAGGAAATTAACACGTGGCGCAATGTGGAGCGAAAATGAATTTTATCAAGCATTCGTGAATATGATTCGCGAGAATGTGAGTCAAAACGAAAGTGTTTTCAGTGGTAATCAACATTAAATTTATGTTTGGGCTAGAATGATGCTTTTTGTCTAGGCTGAAGCTTGTATTCTTCGTAAGTGGCCACTACGCAAGCGTTTGACACAAATATATAATCCACAAGACGATTGTACACTGTTAGAAGATGCGATCCCATGTTGGTCGGTGATCAAGAATAGGTTCATACTCAATTTAATCTCTCAGGATCCTGGAGCTCATGTGCATCGTCGGTCTGGAATCGAATTATCCTAACTCTCTGGGTGGGTCCTCTGTACCCTGAATACCCAAAGTGTTCAACATACATAACTTCCCATTTTTAAGCTATTTGTTAACACAAACCGGTCCTGAAAGTTCGTACTGTATTTTGGAGTTGTGAGAAATGTAGATCATTCTTGGTTACTGTGGTGTTTGTATGAACTAATGATTCTTTTGTACTTGATGTGTGCCTAGTTTTGAATTCTAAATACATTACGTTCATTCGTAATCACCTAGATCCACTTGACTTAAATTGCGTTATTTCGGGGATTCCTAATTCGTATAATAATTAGAACACTTCTAAATATAACAGTTACCTCATGCTATCATTTCAAATTTAAATGACATCTCCACTAACTCGAGTACAGCTGTGAGTTTTTTTAACTTTTCTAAACGTCTTACACCTAATGTTTCAACCAACTAGTTTGAAAAGCTACTAATAACACATCTCTAATACTGATTCTCTGACTAACCATCATCTCTCGGTCCCGTCTCTTTAATATGTCCAACCAATTGCTGTCTATTATATGACATCCAAGCCTTTTCTATCTCTTGCTCTCACTACGTGTAGGGGGGATGATTTTTCGAAGACAAATACGTAATCCTCAGCATACAAGTTTCGGCTGCCTGAAATAAAAATCATATATCTTCAATAACAGTTATTAAAAATCTAATATGTGAGAAGAGTAACACGGTAACTTAACAGAGACACCATTGTATTTGATCAATGAGGTTCCAGGTTTTTTTAATCGTATGAAATACGGTTTTATGCAGCTTAATTTGAGTCATTGCTTTGCTCCTTTTGTAACTGAGAGTTTGTTTAGGGTTACTAGGCTTTCCAGTCTTGAGTTTCTCTATATTGATTTCGATGATCAACACCTCCAAGAAAAAATAGTTCGTTACTTGATTTCATTTACAAAGCGAAATTTATGATATCGATGTTATTGTAAGTGCTTGTAGCCTATCCGTTTTCCTGACGAATGTGTCGTCTACAAAGTGTGCCGAAACTCTAGGCCTGTTTACTGACAAGATTCACATTACTGTTTCTGTAATTAATGCAGATATTAGTGACCCAACTAGTGTTTTTTGACTGTTCGTGTATTTTGTAGTTGAATTGGAAATATATTGTAAGATATCAGTCGATGAGTTTTATTAGAATTTGGCTTTAAAGTCTAACTTGTCTTATTCATCGCCAGTGATACAAATCATTTAGTATATATATCTGCTTATGACAACTGATTAATAATTTTCATGATCACTGTACTTATTTGCCTAGACAAATCTTTTGAAAAAAGACAAAATGTAATTTAAATAAACTGATAGTCATTTAACAGTCTACATTTGTGATTGTTTAGATTAATAGTCCATTAAGTTGTGTATTTCCGACCTTGAACTCTTACTGATGAACAGCTGACTTCTCTACTGAGAAGTCGGATACATATTCCATTGTAAAACTTCCAACTGGTTATAAGTAGAAATATCTTCCATCCTTTTATTCACTTGATTGATCAAATAGTCGGTGGTTTCTAAAATACATTCCCCTAGAAATGCTTGTGTTCAGTTTACTAAATATCTACCAATATTTGGAAAAAGTGTAATATTATATATTTGTAATAAATCTATTTACGAGTAATATAAAATTTTCCTGAGTTTGATAATTAATTAAGGAGAAATATGGAGTTTTATTTATTAAGAATGAGGTAGGTCTTTCTTTTGATTGACTAATGAAAGTACTGTACAGCAGCTCACAGTTTCTTAAAGTAATTTCATTTGTTTATTTATATATGTAATATTATTTAAGAGATAATGTGTACACATTTCATGTTAACATTCCGAATGTGTACCCTCTTATTTCTTGAAAATAAGCGTATTTACTCGATGTAAAGATGAATACTGCTGTAGGATGTTCAACTGATTGGGACCATTTAAATGTATTCTCCATGCCTCGTATAAGGTATGTCAGATGAAGAAAATGAACGATTCATATTATTGGTTGTATTGTCTCTTGTTAAAAAAGATAAATTCAGTGGATTGGATTCACTATGAGATATCGTATATCTTTCATTAAATGATGATAAAGTATAAATCTTAGCATCAAAATTCTTTTCACAATCTCTGACACGTTTATCACACTCAGTATCGTTGTTGACTGTGCTACACAGACTGCCACTTATTGACTGAATTTTGTTATTTAATAAATTTGTGTGTTTTGCCGGTCGTGTTTTTGAATGAAAATGACATGTTTTATGTTTATGTGAATGGCTAACTCGTTGATTATGTTCTGTATGCATAAAATGTTCGTTGATACATTTCCTCGAACGTTTGCTAGTATGAGTAATACTTACATCAGTTGTAGCAGGAGAATCAGAGTCAATAATTTGTGCTTTACTATCAAAATGTTTTGAATGTTTCCTGTTGCGGTACCCACAGTGTTTGACCATATACATACCGCTTGATTCTGATACACTACCATCAGAATATACACTAAGAATATAATGTCTATTCCTGTCATTCTTGGTATAGTGATCTAGAGTGAGATGGTTGTTGATCATACCTAGATGCTCTTTATGCTTTCTTCTGTAAAGCTTCCGGTTATCAACACGCTTTGTTCCAGTTTTCTTATTGAAATTAGTGATCATCTTAGTATTTTGCTCTTTTCCTACAGTTTTCTTCAGTAATAATCTAAAACAAAAGAAAATATTTCAATAAGATTTTCAATCCTAAAATAAGGTACTACACTTAAGGTGCATTCAGATTTTTTTAACTGCTGAAAATAAGTGAAATTTGCATATTTCACATTTGACGATGAGCCTAATTTAAGATTTAGTTTAACTCAGCAACGATGTATATACTTGTGAACTTGTCTATTAGCAATGTTTCAGTATATGAGTACTTGTTTTGAGACTCAGTGGCCCGAAAAATTACTCTGATTGAATTAAAGATTACGATTCACCAGTCTAAATTCTAGTCATTTAACCAATAAGTCAGTGATTCATGTTTTGAATTGAAACGTTTCTCTAATTACTTGTACAAATTTATTTTAGCTCTTTCTTTGAAGTTGATTAGAAAATAAGAACTCAGTTTTATAAAATTCTTGCTTGTGATGAATCTTCTTACATTTCCTATTAGAATAACACCAGACAGCACTCTCAAGTGGGTAAAGGAATCATTTCACAACAGTCCTTAGTAAAATATTTCTCAAATATTAGGATATTAAGAACGAATAAAGTCAAGTATATATTATTTCGGTTCCTATGAATATTCTTTTCATGTCATGGAGCTTGCTATTCAGTTTACAATGAAAACGGATGCCAGTGGAAAAATAAGTAAAAATGATGAAAGGTTAAACTGTTGTTTTGTTTCACTTTACCACCTCCCTTTGATAAACATTCTTTATCCAATAGAAAACTGAATTCAAAACTATTGTCTGATAACTATATATAAATTCTTTTTCTCATCAACACTTTATGCGAAACTAGTCCAAGAAGAAGCTACTGACAAATTAGTGATTCCAAAAAAAAACTAGCGATTTACATCATTGATAGTCCCAAACTGTAACGAACCAACTGTGTCAAAGCCTTATGGCTTTTAATAATTCTTCAGTTATTATAGTTTGAGGTGTAAAGTTCAGATCACTAACATAAGATGATATGTATGAGACCATCCAAGTGCTATTCGTTTTTTTCTATAATTACAAATCTTAGGATTAAAGTGTACTACTTTGTGTTCAGATGTAATGGCTTTAAGGTAATAGCGATTAACGTAATTAATAAAACCAATTATTGATCAGTTGGCACTTTGATGTAATTAGTTTTCTTTGTGAACGTTAATCTAGTCTACTTCGAGTTGAAATGCTGAAATAAACAACATTTATCTACTTTATGTTGTGAGACTACTAGTTTTGCTGATGTGTGTGCTTCACCAATGAAAAAGTATCCAGTCTGAAAATAAGCATTTAATAAATATCCTTAGATTGCCTGTATTTGATATCAGTTGAAAAAAGTAAGGTGAAAGAAACCAGAAAGGCGATATTCAACCATTCCACTTCATTTTCAAACAATCAAAGTGTAAGATCGTGATCGTCCAACCAACTAGTTAAAATCTAATTAAATTATTTCGAAATGATGTATCCCTAACAATACGAAGTCTATGAAAAGAAAACTAAAGTTCGAGTCAATATATCTAAACTTACATAAATCTTTATAGATTAACAGTTACAGTCCTGCTGACTTCAGTCTTCATTCACTCAATAAACGCGATTAAAAAGTCTAAGTTTTACATACAAGAAAACATGACAAATCAGTAACACCAAGAACGTACTTTGAAGGAGATCTTACAACATATTCATCTGATTTTCCCAACTCTCCCAGGTGATATTTTATTTGTTTTGATGCAGTACATGGGTTAATCAGTCTATGATCCTTTGGATAAGGTGGTGGTGGTGGCGGTGCTGTTGTGGTAGAATATTGATGATGATAATGTAATGGATGCTGATGTAATGGTAAGAACGTTGTAGTCATAGAATGTGGTATATTTGTTTGGAACTCTTTGTTAATTGGCTGTAATAGCTCAGTTTCGTTGCCAAATGATGCAGATCTCCATAAATTATTATATGGTACAATATCGGCATTTAACATTTGTGTTTGGGAATTATTAATATTTGAGTATAGACTTGTATGAAATAGTGTTTGTGAACAATTAGTAAACATTTGGCCTACATTTGATTTAAAAAAATTAGAATTATCACCAGAATTGTTAAATTAATTATTCAACTCTGTCATTTATGTTTTGTAACCTTGTTACTTAAAACTTGACTTTTTACTAACTTTAATCTGAATTTCTCTTACTCTTTATTTTAAGATCGAGTTATTCAGAGTCACCAAAAATTAACACGAACTGAAAATCTGTTGAGTTTCCCCTCCATCTAAAGACCCTCACAAATTCAGCCATTTAGGGAATGAATAGTCCACAAATCTCTCCTAGTAATAATAATGTGTTCAGTAATGACTAGTTTCAGGAAAGTTAGAAAATATCGCGAGCTGACTGTATTTAGCAATGTGGATCATTATTTTCTGACTCACTGGTCTGAAGTTGACGTGTTCACAATTTGCTGGGTCTCATCTAGTATGATGTCAGGTAAACGCACAACTTTAGTGTCATGATCTAAAATTAAGTGATCATTCAGTACTTTCACGTTTTAGTGATTCTACAGTTCACGTTGAAGTTACATACTTATTTTATGATGTGAATACATTTGGTTTCCCAAATGTATTGATTATAACTTAGATGTAACTATGGGCATACGAAATCATTCATCTAACACGGTAAAATATGTAATGCACGAGATAACAACGTGATATTTTGTTTATTTATTTAACTGTTATTTAATAAATCTACTGTTTAAATAAACCGCTATATATGATAGTTGGTTAAGAAATTTCATGACGGTCTCCAAACAGTTAAATTGTGATAAATAATATATATTTTTACCAGTGAAATCCATCACACTGATGAATTTGAAAGTGAATCACTAATGAGTAGGAAGAACACATGGTTATTCCAAGAAAATTCATTGTCTACAATTTCAACTACAACTATGCATTTTTTGTCTAGATATTATCTCAAAAACTATTGATAATGAAATTTAAGTTCAAGCTCTGCAAAGATTCAGGATGATCAATAAGAAAAGTAATCCATCAAATAATTTTTGTGAATATACTGTGAAGTGATCATTAGGTAACTATAAGTTTATAACATTCTATTCAGCAAGATTTGAGATGAGGAACAAGTACCAACAGACTGTAAAGAAGGGCTTCCGACCAAAATACCAAAGAAAGGCAATCTCAGAAATTGTGAAAACAACAGGGGCATCACTCTTCTCTCAATACCGGGAAAAGTCTTCAGTAGGGTATTGTTAAACAGAACAAATGACTCCATAGATGCCCAACTTCGAGACCAACATGCAGGATTCCGTAAGGATAGATCGTGTAAAGACCAAATCGCAACTCTACGGATAATTGTAGAACAATCAATTGAATGGAATTCATCACTCTACATCAACTTCATTGACGACGAGAAAGCATTTGATGGCGTGGACAGAACAACACTATGGAAGCTTCTTCGACACTATGGCGTACCTGAGAAGATAGTCAATATCGCATGGAGATCTTATGGTGGATTCAACTGCAAAATCATGTGTGGAGAACAGCTGACAGATTCGTTCGAAGTAAAGACCAGTGTCAGGCAAAATTGTTAACTCTCATCCTTTCTCTTTCTCCTGGTGATCGACTGGGTCATGAAGACGTCAAAACCTGTGGAGAAGTGTGGGATACAATGGACAGCTAGGATGCAGCTGGACGATCTAGACTTCGCAGATGATCTGGCTATTCGATCGCACATTCAACAACAAATTCAGGAGAAGACGACCAGTGTAGCAGAAGCCTCAGCAGTAGTAAGTCTCAAAATACACAAAGGGAAAAGCAAGATTTTCCGATAAAACACAGTATGCATTAGTCGAATCACACTTGATAGAGAAGCTTTGGAGGATGTAAAAACCTTTACATATGTGGGTAGCGTCATTGATGAACACGACGGATCTAATGTAGATGTGAAGGCGCGGATCGGTAAAACAAGAGCAGCATATCTACAACTGAAGAACATGTGGAAATCGAAACAACTGTCAGTCATCACCAAGGTCACAATTCTCACTACAAATGTCAAGACAGTTCAACTGTATGGGGCGGAAACCTGGAGAACTACGAAAACCATCATCCAGAAAATACTAGTGTTTATTAACAGTTGTCTACGCCAAATACTTCAGATCCGTTGGCCGGACACTATTAGCAACAACCTACTGTGAAAGAGAGCAGACCGGTTCCTAGCGGAGAAAGAAATCAAGAATAAGTGCTGGAAGTGGATAGTAAACACGCTGAGGAAGGCACCCATCTGCGTCACAAGGCCTCACATGGAATCCTCAAGGCCGATTCGGAAGAGGAAGACCAAAGAACACATTATGCCGAGAAATCGAGAGACATGATAAGAATGAACAACGTTTGGATATAACTAGAAAGGAAGATCCAGGACAGAGTGGGTCGGAGAATGCTGATCGGCGGCCCATGCCCCATCGGGAGTAGCAGGTGTAAGTAAGTAAGTAAGTTTATAACACAACTATGCTGTATTGTTATGCACAGAACTCTGACAATCCATTCCTATGTGGTACTGTTGATTGTTAGACTGACTTACGCATAAAAATCATAATGCCGTTAAGATGTTTCACTCTCTAAACCAAGTGGTCGTTATTCTGATGTTTAGTAATTCGTATATTGACGTAGTTGAAATTCTTTAAAATTTTAACGATCTCTCGTAGTATCTCTACCGAGATAATCAATGATTTGATGGTAAGATGTAATTATCAGTATTTACAAAAGTAAACAAATAATCTTAAATAAAAGGTGCTAACTAATGAAACCAACCCACTTTTATTCATTATTGGGTAGCATACTAACTGATGAGAATTAGTTTGCCAATTTATTTGAATTTGTTGTTGTTGATTGATGAAAGGAACCGTTTCACAATATGATCCAAAACATTGAGGATTAATAGAATTCACACATGGTGCTTTGTAATACTGGTTTGAATTTTGTGATATATTGTTGTTATTATTATTATTATTATCATTACTATTAGGTACATCAAAATGGACACTCTTTGTATTATTATTATTATTACTATGGTAATTATAATCATTTGATTGAAGTGAGTTTCTACTAATTGATTGGGGAATCAGTGGTCTATTTTGTAAATAAAGGGAAGATTGATTGATATCTGAAGTAGATTTTTCATTTTTATTTGATCCTAGGTAGGATTCAGCAAGCGTACTTAAGGTACCATCAGTTGCACTACGACCTATCACATATTTTCCCAACCCATTTTGTGTCAAACATTCTTTGTTCATGTCCGTTTTTTGCTCTTGGTTTGTTAAGTTAGATTTAACATGATCTTGTGAAATACGATTTAATCCTTTCATTGTTTTAAACGATGACCAGTAAATGATTGACTTGTTGGGTATTTGTATTGTTCGTAATTTCTTACGATAACAATATTGGTAACATGAATATGCAAAGACAATAACAACAAAAGAGACTAGTATAATACATCCAATTATCAATGTGTTAGCTGTTGAACTGATTGGGAAAAGAAGTGGTAAATTTGTTCTGTTGTCTAAAGATGTGACAGGAAATAAAATAATATATGCCATGGTTTATTTATCAAGTAATTTAAAAGGAAAAATAAAATCTGGATGAAATAAGAAAAAGTCAAGTTTGAAAACACGTTCGTTTGTAACTAGCTATCGTTGAAAGAAGGTCTTGCATAGGAATAAAAATTTTCTCTCTAACGTTTACAATTTATTTAACACGGACAGTAGTTTCGAAAATAGAGTCAAAACTGTATACATATTCTAATGAGCTCTGACTTAAAATCAGTTACTTTAGTAACTAATCAGAGTGTGAAGTATTAAAACTAGAGTACAACCGTTCCTCAGATAAATTCACTGTTTCGGAAAATCTCAGTATACAGACATTTTTATATTCGTACAATTGAAGTTAGAGAATGTTGGTTTATTAGTCGCAGTACTCCACTTCCAGCCAATAAATAGTAGATCTGAACACCATCCCACTCATTTCATCTTGAGAAGCCAAGTATCATCATTAGCGTACGCAGTTTAAAAATCCCATCTCATTATTAAGTACACGAATACAAACTTGTTAAGTAAGTTAAAACTCAAAGATGTTCAAAAACACAGAATATTTAACCAAATGATTGCTTTCATTAACTTTTTGATCGGACCCTGCAGTTTTAAGTTCATAATTATTGCGTTATTTTAAATAAGCATAAAATAAGGCATGCTAGTGAGCTAATGTTAAAAATGGTTATTTAAAAATGTATATATTGTGTAAATCTCTATGTTTATTTAACAGTTACTGTTTAATAGAAATGAACTTAACATGCAAATACAAAGAGATAGTCTCCCAAAATATACTGACATTTTCAAATTACTTTTACCAGAATTATGTACGATAACAAGATATTAAAATTATGCAATAAATAAAATTTATGCAATTAAGTACTACTTACTCATTAGTAAGATGATTAAAATACACAAATTTTAGTATTTCTGTATGCTAAAATGGAGTGAGCCACTGTTCTGTCGGTTTTTATATCATTTCTGTAACATCCTTTCCAAAAATGGTTTGTTTGGAGTTTTTGTTGGGGATGTTAGATCCCCAGAACTCACTTAGTAAATGCCCTGTTTTCGCTCCAAAAGCGCACTTTTCATCTTCATGTTGTATTTCCCACTTGGGAGAATCTTTAACGATATTGGTCCGTTGTGTATTTTTAGTATACTGTTTTTGCTATACTTCCCAATGACAGTTTTATGCTGTATATATACGTTTGATTTGTATCTGTTATTATTCACTCGTGCTTCTGGCTTACGGAATATACTTTCTTGTTCCAAGCTTGGACTTCTTCCTCTAGTTAGCGGGGCTGGGACGCATCGGTTATAAGTCTCTGTTCCGTTCGCATGCTAAGTGAACATGTAATAGCTTCAAACCTAGCATTTTTATATGCGTAGTTGCTAACTTTTATTTCAATTACTCAGCTATGTAGAACATACTTCATATATGTAACAACGATCAAAAATAAGTTTACATTTAAGTTTAACTTAATGTTTCAGTAATAATAACACTTTTGTACATGTTAACCTCATTATATAATTTTCGTGTATAGATAAATGGTTTTACGAAATAAACAGTCAATCTTATTTTTATTCTGTTATACTTGTTCATTGTAGATTATAAGCTTTGTCGGCTATCAACAAAAGGATACCTATGTACAGCAATAAAAGATTTATTTTTTTATTAAAAAAGCTAGTTAATTATTCCAATGTTAAAATGCGTGACGATTGATGACATTAGATGCCTATATCCCGCTATGACAAATACTCATACAAGGAAATGTAGTCAATGAATTTCCCTGAGAGTAAGGAATTATTTTATTACAAGTTATCCTGAATCAACGTTTTTATGTAGGGTAATATGTGTGTAATTTAGGTTAGGAATAAATGTTAGATGATAAATGAATGTAAAAGAAGAAACAGTCGACTAATTCAAGTTGCTACACTCCGAAATAACAAAAAATTAGAAAACCATGGAAGGTGAGATGAAATAAAACGATATTAAAACAAAGTATAACTGTAATAATCATATGTTGTGAGGTAGCCATAATAATAATAATAATAATACCATATACTACAGGTCTCTTTTCTTCTAGCATTGCAAGCCTGAGGAGATGGGTCTTGAAAAGGAGATTTACTGGGAGAGATTAAAGAAGATTGATTGATGTCCACGTCAATTCAACTATATATCGATTGAATCCAGTGGTAGATAATTATAAAATCTACCAAACTGTGCAATCGTCACTCATGCACAAAACCACATTAAATTTATAACCATAGTGATAAGTTCATTATTTATTTGAAATTGAAGAGTATTCTTTATTTTTACTATTTTGATTTTTCGGAATTTTTAACGACTATTCAAAAAATTGTGATGTTCTCCGCTTAAATCCCCTTTTGACAACTGTGTATGATTTAAAATAGTCTGAAATTCAATAAAATAGATTTCTGAACAACTGAAGCAGTTGGTAAGTTCTCATAAAAACGAAGCTCAGGGGTTCTTTGAATAATATTTAGCAATGATGCAAACTACTTCAAAATTCTCTGTAGTGCTATATTTTACATTTCGAATATCGTCGTTATTGGTGAAATGAAACATTCTATTATTGTACAACAATTGTTTAACTGTATTGTATATAAACATACAAAATGTCAAATTGGCCTTCAGATATAATCATATAATACTTAATAAAACATGAGGAGAACATTCAGTTTTACATGGTTGCCCATTTCTCGTAAACAAACAAAGTGAATAACTTAGCATAAATTGATCGTGTTTTCCTGTGACCTTATAAAGTTCTCTTTTATGGTAGAAAAAATCAGTTTATTTGTATATCTTAAATGTATTACTAGTAGTTAGTCAACGAATTGTCAAAATGCCTACTGTAATAAATGATAATACACTAACATATGTTTTTTTCCTGGATTTACGGAAAACAAAAACAAATTGAACAA